GACCATTTATTTATAATAAAAGGTCACAATTATTATTGATCATTAGATTTGAAATAGGGTGGTTGAGGATGTATTATTTATTGGGCATAAAGTGTAAAATAGAAATTTCCAGTGTGATACACTTTTAACGATTGGATTTCACATCCTGAGCTAAAATTAACTGTGATCACTTTGTATCAACAATAAATAGTCCTGTAGCAATAATACAAAACCTCAGTTGGGTTGGATGGATTGGGTCTACTCGGCTTGAACTCAGACATGGTCCTTCTTATTATTAGGCCCGTGGTTCTGGGTCCAAACTAACCCATAGGGCCCAATAGCAAGACCCAGACCCACGAAGAACCAAAAAAAAAAAAAAAAAAGGAAAACAATGAAAATGTAAAATCTTCTAAAATAAAAGAAAAAAAAATGAAAGTCTTTGACCAACATGATCACAGGACCCTCAGATCTTGCTTTGACAATTATTATGGTGAACATGTATGTTTAGATCTTGCAACGTAGGATGCCACGTTAGCACCCTCAGATCCAGTATTTGACAAATGGGAAAGGTTACGGTGGTGCGGTGCAATGTCCTGTTGTAAAATTCAAGTACACATACATGCATGCAAATATAGAAAAGAAAGAAAGAGGAGAAAGGGGAGCACCGACGAGTCGTCAGAGTTTCACGTGGCATTCCCATGCATTATGACAGTCCGTTGGCCGCTTCTTTTGAAATACACACAAATGCAAAATAATGAAACGGAAAACCAAGCAACCCGGTTGCCCCTACCATCCATCACAGTCTTCCACTATTGCTGATATCGCTACTACGTTTACGGGTGATTGTGAGAGACAACGGCAGAAAGGTAAACATGAAGAAACGGAATTTCGTCTTTGATTGCATCGAGAGAAAGAGAGACTAGAGATCAATTCAGACACCCAATTGCAAAATTTATGCAGAGAGAGTATAAAACAGTGAACAGAGTCGAAAACGCTTGCATGGTTAAATTTTAGGAAAAATATCTATGTACACTTCTTTTTTAAGTTTATTTCTCAACAGACCAAGAGCCAGATTTTAGCGGTAGATTATATTTTATATATATATATATTGGGTGGGACATGAAAATCCTGGATACTAGGAGTGCAAGAGAGCACCAGATTCCGCTGCATGCTTCTTAATCTTTCAACAATAACACCACAATTCGCAGTGAAGTACAGAAAGGATCCTCAACATTCTTACACAATACACTTTCAAACACTTTTCTGTATAATCCCACCCAGATAAGAATTTACTGAAAAGCATCACAGAGTCAAGAATTATACCCATGCAACTGAGGAGGGCTAAAGGTCTCAGCCACTTGGTAGGGTTTGGGGAGAGAGACACCATGACCGAGTACTGGTGCAAAGGCTAGCCTCCCGGTTCCATTTCCAGTGGCTGCCGCTCTCTCTAGTGATTGCACCTGTGTTTTCAAGAACTTAACATAGTGTATGGCTTCATCAAGCATGGATGCAGTGTCCATCTTTGTACCACCAGGCACCAACCTCTGTAAAATCCTAATCCTCTCGCTAATTCTCTCCCGACGATGCCTGGCCGCGACGCTCTGCGGGTCCTTTGAAATCTTCACATTCCTTCTCTTTGGTGGTTTCACAGATTCGGGATCAATGTGTATGGGCTGCATGGCTGCCACTCTGAATATCATCTCTCTCATTGCAGCCGTGGAATTGTTGCGCCTAAGGTTCGCCATAAGGTCCATGCCTACGGCCTGAGAATTCAGAGTGGTCGGAACATGAGACGGGAATGGAATTGGGAGTGCAGATGATGGGATGCCAACAAGTGAGGTGGATGGAGGAGGAGAGGTGATTGCACTGTTGCCGGAAAAGTTGTTTCCAGCAAACCCCTCATAAAATTCCGGCATCTTTTCCATCTGAAGCATCATCATGTCAATCTGCTCATCCGTCATTGATTTTATTAAGTCGATATCCATGCTTACTGATGGTGAGCTTGCTGAAAGGAAGGCGGCCTCAGTGGAGAGAGAGAGAGAGAGAGAGAGAGAGAGAGAGAGAGGAGGGA